TGGAGTGGCGGCGATGGTTTGGGGGAAAATGGGGATCAGGATGATTTGGGGGAGAGAAGGGGATCGGGATGATTTGGGGAAAATAAGCCACGGATCTTAAAAACACCTAAAAGCTGTTTTGAGAAAAGCGTTAGATCTTTTGGAAATTGTATATGGTCAGCTCAAAAAAACACCCTACTTCCCAAACACGTTTCACTGATTTTTTGGAAAAAAGTAACGGAAACAGAAAAAAACACTCTGCTTAAGCTGTTTGCTTTGAAAATATCGTTATCAGAATTGATAGATGGTAAATGCTGAAATCAATTTTGGGGGAGCATAAACTGTATCCTTTAAACAGTTACAGCTCATGAAAAAAAAATCTTTTCAAATTCAAAATAGGAAAAACTATGCAGCTTTTGTACATTTCCCCCCCAACCAAATACCCAAATTACATGGAAAATATTCTCCGCAATAGAATCACAAACAATCCTCGCTGCAATATTTATTCCAATTTATTTAAATTTTTTGCATCACAGAAAGCATTTAAAAAAAAAAATAGTTGTAGATCCAATAAGGTATCCTCTCTCAAATAAAATATGAAGTACACTCTCAACTCTCAAGCACCTAAATTTAAGATTAAACTTACTTATCCACTCGTATCATATAGGGGTGTATTCACAGAATATTCTCTTTTCCTCCTCATTACAAAAACCCCCCAACCCTCTCTCTCTCTGATCTCTCCCCTCCCTCTCACCACTCGCTCGCTCACTCCACTCCCCTCTCAATTCTCATGCTCCGCCTCTTTCTCTCTCCTCCCCCAATCCCTCCACCGCCTCTCTCAACCCGCCAAAGCCACCGCCGCCGCCTCCTCCCCCTCCTTCGGTGCTCTCCCCAGCTCCCCTCCCATGGCTTCGCCGACGAGCTCGGCCGCCTCCTCGTCCTCCTCCCCCAAGAAATGAAGCGAAAGCTCGAGGCTCAGCCGGAGCTCGAGGATCTCGTTGAGGTCGTCATGGACCTCGGACGTCGCCCCCTTGCTCGATTCCCTTCCGGCGATATCGTCCTCTCTGATTTCCCTATCTCGTCTGAGGATGTCCATCACGCTGCGTCGCAGGTTAGCTTGTGTCTAACCCTAATTTGAGGATAATTTGCTTCTGTGCCCTGATTTTGAGAGATCTTTTTCCCCCTCCCCCTATTCGCATAGTGTCAGACTTGCTCTTATGTCATTTTCGGTAGCATATCGCAGCTCAGTGATAAACTTTATGATATATTTGATGCAAATCACGTATTTTTCAGTGGTATGAATAAAGTCAGAATTGAAGTTGGGTTGTTAAAGCAATCTCTTATAAAGATGATATACATTGTAGTGCAACCTTTTGTCCTTATTAAATAACTTGAAATAGACGTTAAGGTTATGGCATTTCAGCTGCAATTTTTTCGTAAAACATGAATTACACATCTTATATTTTTAATGGGATGCATTATATAACTAAGAGTTATACGCTTTTGATACGAAGTGGATGCTCTTAAATCAAATTGAGAATAAGAGTAAAAGAAAACATTTTTCTCTTGGAGATGATATAAATTGGGGAAGAACTTCTTACTGGGTTGTTTGTTTTCGTAGGTGGGTGATTTTGCAGCAGATAATCGGGCAGGGATCAGCCGGACTCTGCACAGGATCAGTGCAATCCGCAACCGGAAGGGAGGCATCGTGGGGCTTACTTGTCGGGTTGGGCGGGCAGTGCCCGGAAGTGCTAACATGTTGAGGGATTTGGTTAAGGATGGGGGTTCTCTGTTGCTCATTGGGCCGCCTGGTGTTGGAAAGACTACTGTCATCAGGTTCTAGTAGCAAGTTCAACTGTTCAACATTTAATGTTCATTAAAAATACTGGAACCATGAATATGATAAAACTTATTAGTATTAGAAACACCAAGCAAAGACAATGTATTCAGGCTGAGATCGCAAGCTGGGAATACAATATGATTTTGTGTTTTTACAGAAAGAAAATATATAAAAGGCAAAGGTAGAGGATATACTTCTTGAGAGTGATGATTAAAAGCTTATAATGAATACAATGAGATTTGAGTTACTTTTTTGTTTAAGAGCATCATTTGTGGTCTTTTTATCATAACTCATGTTGACATGAGTCCTTGAGCCATCACAACCAACTATAATATACATGGAACTAGATTTTTTGACGCATACTAGAAGCGTAAATGCTATAAATGTAAAATAATCTAACCATGGTCACTTAAACAAACCAATAATATGTTAGAATCTTCAGAGGCTGCATATTTAAACAATTTCAACTACAATTTAGTAGTATGATAGAACTTTATATCTATTTGAAAACATGCAGCCATGAGAATGAACTGTTGCAAATTAGTTGCAAATTCCTCAAAAAGGTTGACATTGTAGCATAGATTCATATAGGAATATTTGACCTTGATAAATCAGTGTGTGTTTATGTCATATAACAGGCTCAAATGCATTGTGGATTCTAATTTTTCAATTGGATACCATTGGCTGCTGCATATTGATCTTATAACGGATTAGAACAGTTGTGTGATGTGTTATGTTGCATGCTACTCATTATTTAATTTCCTGAATATGATTCTAACTGATTAATCTTATTATACAGAGATATAGCTCGGATACTTGCAGATGATTACATGAAACGAGTTATGATTGTTGATACCTCTAATGAGATTGGTGGAGATGGTGATATTCCTCACCCCGGAATAGGCAATGCACGTAGACTACAAGTACCCAATCCTGATATGCAACACAAGGTTTGTTATTCTTTCTACCTCCTGTTGATTATTTTCTTAAGTGGTTAGGAATTTCATTAAACTTAGCTCTGTTACTTTTCCCACAACAAGCCTATCATCGTGTCCAAGGTTACAAAAAGCGCTTGGCGGCCTAGGCGCCGGACGTGGTTCATAGAGCCTAGGCGGGGCCTAGGTCTTGTCCTTCTTTAATTTTTTTAATTACAATCAATGTTATTAAAAGCGCTAGGCACTGTAGGCACCGCCTAGTGCCTAGACACTAGGCCTAGGAGGATTTGTTTTTTTTAAGTGGTGGCGGAGGAGGTTTTGCTGAAGGCTAGAGGAGTTAGGGGAGGTGTTCGTAGTCAGTGGAGGATGTTGGAGGAGTTTGGTGGAGGTTAGACGATGTGGAGGTAGCAACAAACGAAATCATAACCAAAACCTAGCAGTGCAGTCTGTGTAAGCGGTCTCTTCTCCCCTAGGCGCTCTTGGGACCTAGGCAGGCAGAGCCTAGGCAGCCTAAGTGGGAGCTTTTTAAAACATTGATTGTGTCTCCTATCTAGCTTATTCTTTGCTCAAGATAGATTAGGAGGGCTACTCTTAGATTGCATAATCTTAAACTATGTACGTGTAAAAGCAGGAGTGAAGTGGCATCGTTAAAGCTTCAAGGATTTAGGAGTGATTTCGCGTAAAAAGGATTATGATAAATAAGAAAAATGGACACAAGAAGCTTAAAATTTTTGTCATGATTTATATGAATTCACACAGAACGAAAAACTCCAATCTCTACTGATATGACACTATTGGAAATTAAGAAGTTGCATAAATAATTAAGGAATTAAACACTGACATTATAACTTGATTTGTATTGACCATAGCACCAAGAGCAAGGCAGAGAGTGCAGCCAAATTGCTCGTTAGCTTATGCAGGGGACCTGGTGTCCTAGGCTAAAATATAAGTACACTGTGTAGACAGTGTTTTAGTGTAGTGGTAGAAGTTGTAAGAGCTATTATGAAAACTTAGTCTAGAAAGATAAGTGGCTATATCATTATCAGTATCATTATCAACCATAATGGAGTTGGGCAGAGAAGAAGTTTTAATGGCATTGCTCTAAAAAGCTCCATAAACCCATTTGAGTAGTGGTTACTCCAGAAATGTTGGTACCCACTTTATCGTATATTTAATCTCCTGTTTTGTTATCTTATGTATATGCATATGATCACATAAGATAATAAAGATCACTTGGAATCGACTGCAAACATTGGTTCGACTGCTATATTGTATGTCAAATTCTTTTCGCCGACTTGAATATGCAAACTCGAGCAGGGCGGAAGTTAAGTGCATCAGGCACTTCCTATTCCTTATTTTCTCACTCTTCATAAGCATCAAATTTTCTTTTGCTCCATCTTATACAGTTATACTAGTCATTTGCTACTAAACTCAAAATCTGAACATTTATCTCACCCTCATCTATAATGGAAGCGTCATAACAACAATCCTTTGCAGAGACTTAGTCTTTCTTATCGGCTATTTTTCCTATGTGTAATGACGATGCTCAGTTCCCTATGTCTCTTTACCATGTTAGACATCTCACAACTATGGAGATTCTGTCTTTGTTACTTCTCCCATGCCCTCCTTCACAATGGACATCTCTATTACAAACACACTGTCAGCCTTCTTAAGGCACAATAAAATTTTTCATCTTCTCTTCATTTGATGGCCCCAATGACCGATCGTGTACCTGTTTCGTGATGATATTAAGTTATCACAGGTGTGGGCTCATAATCTGTAGCTTATTTTAGGGGGTAGTTCAACTTGCTTTATTTTCGATAGGATTAGAGAAGCGGCACACTTGGGTGACATATAATCTTTTAATTGCTTGATAGAGAAATCAACTTGACAAACTTCTGGTTAATTGATGAGCCACTTTGGCTAACAAGAAAGTGTTATCTCATTTACTAAGCTAGAACATATTCCAATTTCAAACTTTGGAGATAATTATTTCCCTAAGCTTGTCCAACCAAGTTGCTAATCATGTCATTTTGGCCCTGAAAATATCCTCTATTTCTAGTTCCTTCCATTTTAAGAAGGCATGCTTTGGAGCATAATACCCTTATCTTGAGTTATACATGATTATCATAGGTATCCGCTCACAATGCAACCTTACGCTTTGCTTATGAAGAAGTCCAACACATTCTATCACATTCCAAGTCACAAGAGGATTCTTCTTCTAGAAAATCTAGATAACTCGCAAGAATCGAGTTCTCTCCAGTCAATAAAGTATATGCTCGACCCTCCTTCATTGTTAAGCTTGAAAGGGTCTGACACTTGAACAGATTATGTGGCGCCAACACTCACAAGTTCTTGTCTTCATTATTAAGCCAGATATTACTTAATTGTTTTGCCAATTACCATCACTACATTAATTTTATTTCCTTTGTCAAGTACAATAGTACCACACCTAATTGATGGATATCTCTGACATCTTCACCTCACACTACTGTACTCTTCTTGGTTCCTCTCAATCTATCATCAAGTTAGGTTGAGATAAGCTCTATTTTTCATCTGGTTTAGGGGCCAGATGATGTGTGGATGCCCTTTATTGAGGAGATCAGTGTCAGCTAGGGCAAAGACTCATGGCCAGCTGCATTCCTCAATCCACATTCCTCAAATAAGAGAATAATCTCAATCCACTTATAAATGCTAAGATAAAACAACTTCTCTCTGATAAATCTTAATCCACATTTTTCAAAGAAAGAGAAAAATGAAGCTTGAGTTCAAGAAATTATTGCCAATGCCCACCATTCTGTTTTTCCTGTAATTAATCTTCTTCAACAAAATTTAGGGTAATCATATGCCTTTCCATGAAAAAAATGTTCAATGCACAGGAAACTTATTCCATTTTAGACTTTCTAAAATTTTTGTCTAGAAGCTTGAATCTTAGCATGCACCTACTTACTATGTAGTATGTGGTTGTTACTTACACGCACATGAAATTTTGAGCTGGTCTCTTTGTTACCCTTAATTGTATGCCTACCAGGCCACAATGTTTCATGTTATGGAAAAATATGCATTGAAGGAATTGAAGACCTCAATTATTCTCAATTCATAAATTTCTGTCCATATCTGTGAATACAAGTTAAAACCTTCGTTAAGCTGTTGCCTTCTGTTGTTATCATGTTTTAGTATTTTCAACTTGCGTGGGTCACTATTATCTTGTTTCCATCCGCCTAAATCTATTTGAAATTGACAAAAAAGTCTTTTTATTTTTGTTCTTGTTCTATCTCATACCATTAACTTGTGTGGTTGCTGATTGGAATTTGTAATCCATAATTGCATGCTACACAGGTGTTGATAGAAGCAGTAGAAAATCATATGCCCGAAGTAATTGTAATTGATGAAGTTGGAACTAAACTTGAAGCTATGGCTGCTAGTACCATTGCTCAACGAGGTATCCAGCTTGTTGCTACTGCTCATGGAGTTACAATAGAGAATTTGTTAATGAACCCTTCACTAGAGATGTTAGTTGGAGGAGTACAGGTATAATTATACTTTTGAGCTACTCACTGATAGTTTACTTCATATTCTTGTATCTGGAGCACCTGAAGGTTCTTTAATTAAACTGCAAACTTGCACTCTGGTTTGATATGTCCTAAGAAGGTTATTGAGCAAAATAGCTTAGGGAGCGTTTGACTACCATAGCGTTTTTTCAAAGCCAAAACACTATGCATTTGTAAAATGTTAGAAGAGAGTATTAGTTTAGCATTGGTTTAGTCCCAAATTGCCTGTGAGGCTAACTTGTAACTAATCAATCTCTATAAATAATAAAGTATAGAGTAAGGAGAAATCTCTCAAAAAAAATTCTTTTCTCCAAATCTTAACATGTTATCAGAGCTTATCCCTAACCCTAACCCTAATACTAATCCAACTTCCTAAGCCTAACTCTAACCCTAATTCACACTGTCCGTTCGTCCGAGTCGTCGCCGTCTCGGTCTTCGTCTTCGTCCAGATCCGCCGTCAGCCGTCGTCTTCGTTCTTCGTCCAGATTTTCCGCCGGCGCAGATCTCGCAGCTACTTCAATTCGCCGCCGCTTCGTCCGCCGTTGCTGCTACGTTCGTGATCTTCAGCCGTCGCTGCGTCGTCCAGATTTGAGCCTTCGCCACCCGCTTCGTCCACAGACCCGCCGCCGCCGCCACCATGAGGCCTTCAGTCACCGTCGTCATGCTCCTCTGCCCCCTCCCTCTTTGTTTTTGGATCTGAATCAGATTTGGGAATTGCACTGTAAATAAAATTAAAAAATTAAAAAAATAATTAAAAAAAACCTTCGGGTTCCATCTTAATCTTTAGGTTCTTAATCTTTAACATTCGGGTTCCATGTTAACCTTTGGGTTCTTGCATTTTAACCTTCGGGTTCAAAATTAAACCTTCGGGTTTTGGACTTGTTCTTCCTATTGGCTAATTCAAGAATTATTATATTGAACTTGGATATGCTTTGATTGTTTCTAGTTTGGAGTATAATTTGTGGAGGGTATCGTCTTGAACTCTACTTGTATGTTTCATGATGGCCAAATCTGAGGATTTCAAGAATTCTAAGTTAACGGTCCAGACGAAAGTTTCAGAGATATTTTCTGGTGGAATCATTGACCGAAAGCTTGATGGAAATAATTATTTTCAGTGGAAGCGTGTTATTAAAATCTACGTGGCAAACCGAGACAAAACTGGCTATTTGTTGACAGACCCTCATACTCCGACATCGGAATCTTGAACATTGGATGATAGTGTCATCTTGCATCACATTCTTAATAATATGAAGCCTAAAATTCAGGATTTAGTTCTTCATTGTATGACAATGAAGGAACTTTGGTGTTTTTTGCAGGACCTCTATAGGGGTATCAACAATATTAATCGAGCATATGAAGTAATTTAAAAGCTGTTTCATAAGAAACAGGATGGTAAACCCATAGATGATCATTATGATGAGTTCAATCGTCTGACCGAGGTACTTCGTCAGATTTTTTTCTATTAATGGGGATGTAAAACAAATGCAGAACCAATGGAGCAAATTTATGGTACTTACCCACTTGGGTACCCTAGATTTTATTTACTCCTATATTCGACCATAAATCATGGGGAGCTCTGCCATTAGTTCTCTAGCTGAGACTAATCACTTTCTGAAGAATGTTGTCCCTACACAGTCACTTACATCCACTGTGGAACGTTCTGCGCTTGCCACTTATAGTTGACAGTTTTATAGACGAGGGGGTCATACTAGTGGTCCTGGAAGAGGTAGATGAAACTTTAAAGGACGAGGAGGTTACCACACTGATCGTTCTGGGGGTCGAGGTGGTCAACGAGGTGGCCGTAGAGGTCCATCTCAAGACGGACATACTCATGACGATGACTCAGTGAAGACTTGTAACTACTGCCACCAGTCAGGATATCTCAAATATAATTGTCCCGAATTGGAAAAAAGAAGGCCAATGGTGCTTACACGACCGCTCAGGATAACTTCAACTCATCTTATAGTGAAAGTCAACTACAGTCAGTCTTTCATGATACGAAACTGTAGCGTCAATTTCAGCAATTTTAATTATTCCAACAGTACTAGAGTTCACAAACATCGTTTTTCTCCTTATCTGCTACTCTCAAAAGTGCAAGTAATCCTTTATCTTTACTTATATCGTCTTCGTCTAATACTTGGATTATAGATACACGTGCCACTGATTATATGACTGGGAATCAAGGTATCTTATCATTTTTTAGCCCTACATCTAATTCAGTTATATTAGCTGATTGTTCACGTACACCTGTTCAGGGTGTCGGCAACACCAATCTTTCTCTTAATCTTCCTCTTTCCTCCGTATTCTATCTTCTTAGTTTTTCCTATAACTTTTTATCTGTTAGTAAGATCACAAAATCTCTAAATTGTACAGTGACATTCTTCCCCACACATTGCATCTTTCAGGACATGGTCACGAGGAAAACGATTGGGACGAGACGTGACCAGAATGACCATTATAAATTAGAATTAGGCGTCAAACATTTGACTTGTATCGAAAACTTATCAGCCCTACAATACCATTGTCAGCTAGGACTCCCTCTCGCTCTGTTCTCAAGCTGCTTAATCCCCGGTTCAAATCTCTTTTCTCATTAGAGTGTGAGTCGTGTCAACTTGGCAAACATCATAGTGTGTTTGATCCTAATTGAGTCAATAAGATAAGAGGGCTGCTAAGCCATTTGATCTTGTTCATTCTGATGTCTGGGGACCGTCCCCAATAACTTCTAAATTGGGGTTCCGGTACTTTGTCAGTTTTGTGAATGATCACTTTCGTGTTACCTGGATTTATCTTCTCAAGTCTAGGTAGGTCTGAAGTCTTTTTCACATTTAAACTCTTTTATTCTGAAATACTCAATCAATTCAAGTCTTCGATAAAAATTTTCCGATCTGATAATGCAAAAAAATATTTGGATGACAACTTCACTAGTTTCCTTAAAGAACATGAGATCCTCTATCAGTCTTCTTGTGTTTACACTCCTCAGCAAAATGGAGTTGTTGAACGAAAGAATAGACATCACATTGATATTGCTCGGACCTTGCTATTCCATTGCCACGTTTCCAAAGAATTTTGGGGGAAAATTATCTTAACAGCATGTTACTTGATTAATTGAATGTCTTATTCTGTTCTGCAAGATAAAATTCCTTTCAAGATTCTATACCCCAATGTGATCTCTTTTCGCTTTCTCCAAAGATTTCTAGCTCTCTGTGCTTTGTTCATAATCACAGTCCAAATAAACAAAAGTTTGACTCTCGGTCTATTACATGTATTTTTCTTGGCTATTCCCGAAAACATAAAAGTTACAAGTGTTTCTGTTCGTCACTCAGTCGTCTTGTGTTATCTGCTGATGTAACCTTCTTCGAAGATAAAATCGGTCATTCTAGTTCTCCATCTCATTATCACCGGATGAGTATGACTATTTAATTCTGCAAGAGTCATTGGTTATCGGTGGTAGTTCATCCGCTGACAATACTCTTTGCGCTACTGGCAAAGACTCAGTTCGGTTTAACGATCCAATTCAAGTTTATCATCGTTGTTCTACTCCTGTGCCAACGTCGGCCTCAGCACCACGTTCTCCGCCCGAAGAACCTGAATCCATATGTGCACATTTATCCTCTTCTGCGGAAGACCTTCTTATTACATTTCGAAAAGAGACACACACTTGTACTCAACATCCTATTTCTAACTTTGTCTCCCATGATTGCCTCTCCTCTATCTTTCGATCTTTTGTTATTTTCCTCGACTCATTTGGTTTTCAAGAATGTGTTAGAAGCCCTGTCTATTTCAGGTTAGAATCAAGCGATGCAAGACGAAATGAGGGTATTGCGGCAGAATAAGACTTGGGATTTTGTCTCACTCACCAGGAAAGTGGCTGTATGTTGCAAGTGGGTGTACACTGTCAAGTTAAATCCTGATGAAACTTTGGCACACCTGAAAGCCCGATTGGTTGCTAAAGGCTATTCACAGGTGTTTGGCTTAGATTACGTAGATACATTCTCTCTGGTGGCAAAAATGTTATCTGTTCGGATTTTTATTTTATTAGCAGCAATAAATCATTGGCCACTTCATCAGTTGGACATCAAGAATGCATTTATTAATGGTATTTTAGATGAGGTTTACATGGAGTAACCACCAGGTTTTGTCGCTCGGGGGGAGAATGCGAATGTATGTAGGCTAAAGAAATAACTCTATGGTCTAAAACAGTCTTCGAGAGCCTGGTTTGGACGTTTTGCATCGGTGATTTAGGAATTTGGTCTTTGTCGTGCACAGAAAGATCACTCTGTCTTCTGACGATTTCAGAATGGGAAACGAATTACAGGGGATGATGCTTTTGGTATTTACAGTCTGAAAAAGTATTTACAGTCTGAAAAAGTATTTACAGACACATTTCCAAATCAAAAATCTTGCTTCCCTAAAATACTTCCTAGACATTGAAGTTGCAAAGTCACAGAAGGGTAATCTTCTGTCAAAAAGGAAGTATGTACTGGGTATGTTCTCAAAAGTCGGGATGTTAGGATGCAGAAACAGTGATTCTCCAATGAATGTGAACTCAAAACTACTATTAGACCAGAGGGAGCTTCTTGAGGATGTTGGGCAGTATAGGAGATTGGTGAAGAAACTAAATTATCTGACGGTGACCAGACCTAACATCACATTCGCAGTTAGTGTTGTGAGTCGGTTCTTGTCCGCATCAAGAACTACTCACTTGGATGTAGTGTTGAGAATTTTGAGCTACCTGAAGAAGGCTCCAAGACGAGGAATTCTCTACTCAGATCAAGGACATACCAGAGTTACAGGCTTCTCTGATGTAGATTGAGCTGGATGTCCTTTTGATAGGAGATCGACTACTGGATATTGTGTCTTAGAGAAAATCTGGTGTTATGAAAAAATAAGAAGCAAAGTGTTAGTGTCTCGATTTAGTGCAGAATCAGAATACAAAGCTATGTCAAATGTGACACTAGAAATGGTTTGAATCAAAGACCTATTGACGGAGATTGGTCTCCCTCAAGAAGGTCCCATGGATCTATATGGCGACAATAAAGCAGCAATTCACATTGCTGAGAATTTTGTGTTTCATGAGAGAACTAAGCACATTGAAGTTGATTGTCATGTAATCTGCAAGAAGCTCGAGGACAAAACCATTACGGCAAAACATGTATCGACAGTACATCAATTGACAGACATTCTTACAAAACCATTTGGTCGAACACGGGTTGACTTTATTTATGACAAGCTGGGCATGTATGATATATATGCTCCAGCTTGAAGGGGAGTGCAAGAAGAGTATTAGTTTAGCATTGGTTTAGTCTCACATTGTCTGTGAGACTAACTTATAACTAATCAATTTCTATAAATAATAAAGTATAGAGTGAGGAGAAATCCCTAAAAAAAACTCTTTTTCTCCAAATCTTAACATAAACCATGGTGTTTTTGTTGGGCTACAATATCAAAAATAAAAAACAACACAGTTATTTTAAAACACCAAAAAACTTATCTTAAAGTTTGGTGTTTTGAGTTTAAAAGATGTTAATATAATTTCCAATATAGCACATTAATAATATATTTAATATGATATATTTGTTATATAATATAATAAATATAATTTTTTATAGGAATAAGATAATATAATACAATATTATTATATTATATTATATTATATTATATTGTATTTATATAATATATTAATAATTATAATATAATATATAATAATAGTATTTAATAATAAAATAATAACTCCTCTAAAAATGAAAGATTAAATATTAGTAGATTTAATATATTCATAATATCTTATTACATTATAATATAATAACAAAATAGTAATTTTTTATAAAGTAAATAACTTATTAATGAAAATAATATATTATAAAAATATTAATATAATAATCTGGACAACCTCTAGGTGCTCGGGGAGTCCTAAACTCTTCTGAATGAGTTTAGGTGTGACAGTGATCGATATCCCTCTGCCAATAACGGTGGTTGAATCCTCTCCTGATCTATCCCACGCGGCATAAAATTCTCGAACTAGTGTAGTGTTGGCTAACTTGGGTTTCCTAACCATCATAGATTCAATCCCAGCAATTGTGAATAACGTGATTATGGGCCGATACTTAAAAAGTTGAATCCTCTCTTAATGGATCGGTAGAGAACCAAAAGAGAGAGAGGGGATTCAGCATTTCATTGATGTTTTCTGAAAGCCATTTATCTTACACAAAAGAGTAGATGTTAATTAAGGCAATGAGGGGTCAAATTTACAAGAATTTCTAAGTTATAGGGTTCAAAATGCAAATTCTTATTTTCTGGCCACCAATTGGTAGGCCAACCGATTGGTTCGTCGCTGAGGCGAACCAGTCAGTGGATTTTCACACCGATTTCGTGTACACACTCAGTTCGAATTGTTTAAAACGTGATTTGCTATCATTTCCAACAAGTTCCCACACAAATTACACCCAAAAATCAAGAAAATTTGCAGTTAATTGTGAAGTTAGGTTTTCGGGTTTATACCTTGAATTTGGTGTGGATTGATTGCAAAATCGTTGCAAAAATCGTTGCAAAGAAGCTATCAGATCTGACCCTAATCCTCTTTTCTTCACGTGGGAGACGAAAATTGATGAAGAAAATGGGTTTGTAGAGAATTTGGAGAGAAGAAGAAGAGTTGTGACGGGCGTATTTGACTCCAACCGGTTGGCCAACTGGATGGGGTTTTTTTAAATTTATTTATTTATTATTATTATTATTATTATTTTGATCTTTATATATATATATATATATATATATGAGAAAAATGAGTATGCTTGGTACCAAGCACAAATTTTGTGCTTGGTAGTGATGTGTCACATCCTCATCCACTCACTACCCATGTGAATGTGGTCCCTTATTTGAATGAGTGGAGGGGGATTATTAGAAGTTATAGACTATATATATATATATATATATATATATGGAGAGGTTCTAATAAAAACCTCCTTAGCCTAAAAACTAAAAACCTCCTTCATCCAATGGCTAGGATTCAGTCAAACAGTCAACAGACACATGCATTAATTACCTCATTAAACACATGCATTAATTACATCAACGCAGTGAATCCGGATTCGTTGAGATAGTGAATCTGGATTCACTGCGTTGAGGTAATTAATGGGGTAATTAATGCATGTGTCTGTTGACTGTTTAACTGAATCCCAGCCATTGAATTCATCTAGATCCAATGGATGAAGGAGGTTTTTAGTTTTTAGGCTAAGGAAAATATGTTAATATTTGAAGATAATATTTCATAATTATAATATAATATATTAAAAGAATGATATATAATATTATAATGTATTATAATATATTAATTATATATATAATATTATAATATATTAGTTATAATATATTAGTTATAATATATTATATTATAATTAATATTTAGTATAATAATAGTATGTTTAATACTAATGTTATAAAGGGTCAAACTATTGTTGACGGAAAACACTCATCATGGTGTTTTGAGAACACATTTGGAGTAGAACACCTTAGTATTTTGAAAACACTACACAAAAATCACCATGGTATCTAGACATACGCTTAATTTTTATGTAAACCTCTGGCCCATGTTCAGCTATATTGCTTTGCTTTCGAACTATAGGATCTCCATTATTTTAATAATGACTGTAATTTATCTTTCTGACTTGGATGCCCTACATCATATAATAATTTGTCCCTTAGCAGTCAACATTTTTAACATGCGAAGCTCATTACACATTCTCAGCTAGGCTAATTAACTGCAGCCTTCTTTGCCACCCTCATCCACTTCCATTCCAATAAATATCACCCCTTTGGATGTACTTCCTTTGAGTTAGTTTGCTCAACTGTATTTTTAAATTTCCCATGCAGTAAACAAAAAGTTTTTTTCCCGGAGAATTTCAAGGCTAAAACATTTGTACTTCTACTGACACAGAGACATTGCTCAATATCTACAATGCCAGGTTGCAATTGAGAAATGGAACCGTAATTCACTCTCTATTAATATTCGTATCCACCTTTGCCATATTTTGAATATGATATGAATTTTGGGTTAGAGCACTTGTATGGACATAGAGGAAGTGGTAAGAGTTAGTGCGTTTTCACCTGAATATTTTGGTGTTGTATAATCAATTCTCGTAAAGTAATTGAGCAAGTTCAATGTCTTTGATCACCTCTCTTTCAAATAATTGGCATATAGTTTATCTAAAACAGTGGAAAACAATAACTTAGATGAACTATATGGGGTTTCTGAATGAATAAGTTAATTGTATTTTCTAACTACAATAGTAATAATTATTAAACTTATTGCTTCTAACTTTTTTTGGCAATACATGTGTTCTAGAGTGTCACCCTGGGCGATGAAGAGGCTAGCAGGAGAGGTGTCCAGAAAACTGTCCTTGAGAGGAAAGGGCCGTCAACATTTACTTGTGCTGCAGAAATCATTTCTAAGACCAAACTACAGGTCCATCGTAGTCTGGAGGCAACTGTGGATGCTCTTCTTGCAGGTTCTCTGCTACCCTAGTGCTTTTCAAGTAGATTTACATGTCAATCTTTTTGCAATAAAAGTTGATTGGATTCTGCTATCTTCTTACAGTTCTTTATGTTTCTCTCTGATACAGGGCGATCCCCAATTTTTGAAGTATGCAAGTTAGATTCAAACGAATCCATGAATGACATTCTCCATGTACAAACTGAATCTTCAAATGGAGTTGATGCTCTTCTGGAGGATGATGTCACTGTTGAAGATAACTTTTTGAAGAATGATGAAACTATTACTCTCAACACATCTAGTCTTGAATCTGCAGAGAAAATAACAGAAAGCTCTTCTGAAGCTCGTGCAGGATTTCACTTATTTGTTTATGGGGTAAGGTATCTGCATCTGTTATTTTGATGTATCCTTTACAATTGTAAATTATTATTTACTAATCGAAAAAAGAGAAATGGTTAATTGTTGCAACTTTCTCAAACTACATTATTTTGATGGTCCCAGACGATCCATCTCTATTTCTTGCTTCTAAACCGAAAATGGAATCAAGAGTTCCTTACATTACTTTCAGTTGCTTGATATCTTGCATATTAATCAGTCTCGATTATTGTTATCTACTTCTTAATTCCCAAGTCTTAACACAAAGAATTGGCATAAGATCCTCATTGTGATGCCTATTAGAGAATGTAACTTTAAGAGTGTAAGAAGTTAAATGTAAATAAATATTGATCAGGCTCTAGGTTTGTAGTTTTTCATGCTTCATGGTGCTTTGATGGAAAGAAATTTGTGACGGTAGAGTTAGTCAGAAGTTATAGTTATACTTCTGTTTATATTAATACCTTCACTATATGAATCTGAACTTATAGGGTGGACAGTTATTTTAGATCACTGAGACTAGCGTATTGCAAGCAATCAAGCAGCTGGGAATGGAAGAAGATGTTGGAATAACAGATAATATCAGCGAAGCTGATGCATTTCTTTCCTTGCATTCCAAGCTCAAGAAGAATTCTCAAATTCAATCAGTTGTCAAATCTCGTGGAATTGCAATCCATGTAACAAAGGTAATGAGCAAATATTTTCTCAGCCGCAGTCTCAGTTTCTTTTTCACATTGGGGATCCTCTGAAGTGTTTTCCTGTCCTTTTATTTCTCCCATCTAGACGAGTTCTCTGATGCAAATCACAAAGGCAATTCGTGCTCTTACCAATGGACGTGTAAAAAGATTCAAAGAATTTGAACCAGAGGCTACTATGACGTCATTGGAAAAGAATGATGCTTTAGAGGTGATATATTTTGCATTTATTTTCCCCATATTTGGCTTCTAATGTTGAGGACTGCTTAATAATAATTTAAATCTAAATAATTATAGGAGGCAAGATTAGCTATAGAGCAGGTTGTAATTCCAAAAGAAGAGCAAGTGCAGCTACTTCCAAGGCCATCATGTATCATCTCTATGCAGATAGAGCTCATAGAAAGATACAAACTTAAGTGGGAAAAAGTTGGCAGAGAGCCACACTTCAGTCTATGCATTCTTCCTCTTCCTTTGGACACAAAAGAGAAAGGGCCTCTCTATCAAGTTGTAGATACTGGAAGTGAATTAGAGGACATGTTCAGCTTGGATGACATGAGCAGTTCACAAAATGGTGTTGCTAGATTGCCGCTTCTTCCTGACTAGGTAAAAATCCAATACCATAATGTTATTGTTTCATATAGTTGAAAATATTTGTATGTTTCTCTTTGATCTTAATTGGCAGATGAGTTACTTGGTTTATGATAATCATTGCTCAATCTGGATGCACTTACGTGCCTAGTCGATCACTTCCCACCAAAACTCAGTAAAATAAGTCTCTCATGAGATTTTAGCTAGTCTGATCCTTGTTCTGTCTTTCTTTCTTTTTTCCCTTCTTTTATGGGTGGAGGTCTAATTGAGATTCCATCTATTCAAGTAAGTGAAGATTCATGTACAGAAAAAATTACAAGCAGCTCCCTCAGTTGCCTAACCAGCTCCTTATTGCCCGCAGAGCTGGAACAAGCTAAGCACAGTATCCTACTTGCCCAAAAGGGCAAGGAAAAAAGAAAAAAAAACACTGCCTCTTACTATGCGTCCATGGAAACACAAAAGAAACAGAGTTGGAGTATAGTCATCCAAACCCAAATTCTTGTGGTGGAAAAGAATATACATGAACACCATCTTAGGACATTCCTGGACATGCTTGAATAAGCAGCTTCTCGTTCAATCACAGTTGGCATTGACGCCTCTTGTGCTTCTTTCCTTGCAGAAGCGTCAGCTAGATCCCTCCCTACAACTCCCCTTAATAGTCTACTTCCATAGATGACGAGCTTCTGGACCATGGCAGACACATTACATAACTGAAATTCAACAAAAACATTTTAAATGAATAAGGGTTAAACATTTACCTCACTCATCCTTAAAGATTTTATTTATTGTCGAAACATTTCACATCATAGCATTAGTGCTGGTATCCTACTTCATTATGACTGCTAACCCTAGAACAGTATTTCCTCTGCAAGTAATCCTTATGTCTTGCCTTGCCTTGCCTGGGGAACTCTTAGAACTTGCAAATTCTGATATAAATCTGTCGAGAGAGAGAAAAGAACCCACAACAGTAGAATAAATTATGTATAGTTTCTTCCTGCATTCTAAATACAGTATACTGTTGTTTCTATAAAATTCCTCTTCTTGCCAATAATTTGGTTTTTAGTTTTCCTTTGAGGATTAACCAGGTTAAGATTCTTCCATTGAAGTGGGGCCTTCCATATAAGAAAGAGGTATGGGGTTCTGACATCGTCAAAAGAAATGGGTCTTCTTCCACGAAATGGTGTTTTGATACCCTCGAAATTGAGGAAAGAGTATCAGGTTTTAACAGAAAAAGCCCCATCTCCCGCCTACCGATTCTAGTGTCATTCATGTTGTTTTTTGTGTTCTTATTTAATTATTCCAATAGCTCAAAAACACCCATATGCCAAGTTTCCTGTTAAATCTCCTATAAGAGTGACTTGCATCGCCACACTTTATCCTCGAAGTAGTTTCAAGACTCACAAAGGCTGTCCAGCATGGGAAAATAATCATGAAATTTATATGCCAGGTGCTTCTCCCATACCTACCAATTTAACTAGATAGCCAGGGACTTTACTACTAAACAGTAATTGTTCATTTTGTCTAAGAACTCCCTTTGAAAAAGAGGAACCAATACCTGTTTTTCTATCTAGCTAATGACGGTTTTTCTTTATAATACTGGATAAATGTATTGTCTTCAAAATCAGAACTTCATCATAGAAGAAATTCCAAATTTGTTTGTCTATCAGGAGAATATTCGTTTCTCTTAACAGATAGCAGTCCATCCCCTAGTTTCTTCTCTTTAGAGAGTATGCATAGTTCACTAAAAGAGCAGAACCATACAATTTCTACTTCCGTTCCGAAAGAAATTTTTTCTTATTTTGATAATTCTTTCTAACCCATATAGGCATAAGCCATCATCTATAAGAAGCATGAAAACTTGGTAAAAGTAACAAATATAAGTATTCGTCCCCTAAGACAATGTAGTGTCTTTCCACCCAACGAGTATCTTGTCAATCTTGTCTGTTGATGGCCATGCTAATGTCCATTGAGGGCTGCCAGTCTGGCCAGTCTGATTTTTGCAACTTCCCATGCTTAAGAGGAATCCCTTAAGTGCATTCAAGCTTTAAAAGAAAGATGAATCCTTTAAGTATTGTACATAGAAGATGCATTTCTGACACTTCATGATGACTGTTATTTGAGCTTGAATATCTGTCTTCTTATAGAAGTACAAGCGAGCTTTTACTGAAATCTGCACCCATCTTCTTTATTACCCTTTGTCTTCTTTTAGTTCCCCCCTTCATGCTGTACCAAATCCTTTATTTATATGTTATTGAACTGTCTCTATGCCCTTGTCTTGTGCATGAAGAGTATTCTACTACCCCTGTATAAGCCTATCTTTCTTGCCTGTTGGTACTCAGCTACTACGTCTAGAAGAAGTTACTGTAGTTTTCTTATGCAGGAGAAAGAGATCCTCCTCATTAAACCTGATGGTGCTCATCATAGGTAAGAAAATTTCACAGTTGCTGTGTGGATTGTGCTTGATGACTGATGTGTCAAGATCATGTTCTGTGGTCACGATGCACCATAGAATTGGTGCTTATTTGTGTTTAGGGTGCTACTATTATGACCTTGTAACCCCTTGAATGCAGTTGATGATTGCTAATTTTACATAATTTTATTTAGTTTTTTTGAAAGCAGATCTGTCCTATGCTGCCACATGTTGTTTCCTTACTAAGATAACTAGCTGAGTAGAGCTTCACTTACTCTCATAAATCTTAATAATGCTTTATTTGTTGCTGTCGATTCAACACTGTTTTCATTCATTATGCATAACTTTAAATTAAATTGTCCCTTGATCTTTATTTATCTGACAGGTTCAATTTCACTTTACTCACAGAAGGAGATTAGCGAAGGCTTCACAGCTTTATATACAACTACGCTTTCTTTTGAAATTCGTGGAACAATTTGACAAGGCCCTAGAAGAAGGCAATGTCATGAGCCCTAGCTGCAAATTTGCTAGATAATTACCTGTCTTCACCGGGCTTCATTACTATTACATTACACTGGATACTTCATGAAACTGGTCAGAATGTTCATATTAGTTCAAGATATTGAAGATATTGTGCAATACATAGCTGAAAAAACACATTAAGTAACTCGTTATGTTGTGTTATGTAATCTAGCAAGCCTTAAATGTTACGTAACCTTTTGAAATAACTCATACACATTATAACTCGGCGTTATTGCAAAATATCATATGTTATTTCAATTTAACTTACGTTTTTTCAATGTAACGTGTTATTTTAATACAACTTACATTATTCCAAAATAGTTTATTATGGAGACTCGAGAGTATTTTCTTTCTTAAAAGTCAAAGTAGTTAAATACTTTTGAATTGATTGTCAGGTCATCGTGGGTTATTTCAGCGACGTCATTATCTGATTGTGAAATTATGAATGCGACTGGACTTGAGATTATTTTCTTTAATTTTTTATTTTAAACTTGAAATACATCTGTTTTTGGATTGGTTCTTAAGCATTTATGATGTATTATTGAGAAACTGTGATAATACATTTGATAACTCTGATGTTATATTTAAAGACTGCGCATTTATGATGTATTATTGAGAAACTGTGAAAATATTTGATAACTGTGATGTTATATTTGAAGATTGCGCTCATTCTATTTGTTAAAATCATTGTGAATATTATTTATTATTGCATATTGAAATAAAATATTAAAACATGTAACCTACGTTATGCATTACGTTGTTTGTTTTGCATTTTACATTATCAGGAGATGAGCATTACGTCCTGCGTTATCCTTTTCTTTCAACATTGGTTCAAAGCTTATGCGTCTTGGAATTCAAATCATCATATTAAATCTATCTCAAGAAGGCAAATCTTTCTGGTTACAGTGCAAATGCCGAGCTCTCTGCACATCCACGCACTGCGGTATGATAATATTTCAAAGAATGCAGCTGAAGGAAGATATTGAGGCTGAAACGTGAAGTGGAAAAACACAAAACATGGTTAGTACATATCTACTTTTCATGCTTTGTACATACTGATATACATATGTAAGATTGTTGGAACAATCTTTTCTATCTTGCTCATTGTCCCATGATGTGAATAGTTTGTTTTGTTAACATGACGATGTTTTTAGTGTGCTTGTTAGAAGATTCTCTACCCTACCAATCCACAAACTTGAGCTACCTCCATCTTTTGCTTTCCCTTTTGCTGCTGCTTTTTTGAGATTACTAAAAAGATCAGGCCATTTCTATTTGATATGTTTGTGTCATCCCATGATCCACAGCCAGCTACAATTGGCTGATTTTGAATCTCTAGTTCATTCCAAGATGAAAGCTTGGTTCACTTAGTGTTATAAAAATGGCAAATTGGGCGACTTAAATGTAAAGTTCATTCTTAATTATTGACCTTGATATGCCCATTAGTTCCTCTGAGAAGTCATGACCTTTGCCTAAATGTGCATTTGGCTATTGACTACTCATTTAAGCTAAAGCTAATTGAGCCTCCACTAGGTTCCTCTTGCTAAACAAAGGGAAAGAAAGGAGAGGAGCACAATCACATGAGAACTGTTAACATTGTATATCGATTAAGATTGTTTATATAAGCAATGCCAGGACACTATGAGTAGAAATAAGCTGAGGCTGGCAGTGAGTGTGAATCACGTGAGAGGACAATAGGTGTACTTAAGTGGAAAGTATTTGGAAGAGCAGTTGAAGGAATTTGAGGCCAGTAATATGTATCTGGATTGGCTCTTGAGCATTGAGGGATGACTGAGTAGACAACCACTCAAACAAATATGTTTATGTGTGTCCTTGCATGCGTTTGCGAAATTTAGGTCCGAGGTTTATTTCTCAAGTTGTTCAGAAAAATAAAGCAAGATTCTACAAGTCATCTCTCATAAGTCTTATGCGCTCAAGTTGGCTAGTAAGAATGTGGGTATGATCTTTTTACTAAATACTTTTTATCTTGAAGGCGATGTTGCTGACATCCATCAAGGTATTTCTATTTTAGGCTCACATTATAACAGAAAAAAGATATAAAGAGAGGTAGTCCCTTTGAAGTTCAATATTGGAAGTAAAAGAACTAGAAAAAACAGCTTCCATCCAAGGAAAGAGAGAACTCCTTGAAAGATTTTATTTCTAATTAGTTCTAATGTAGACATTAATCACAATATTTGCTAGTGATTGTTATGCACTGTAGAACCATTTTGTGTGAAGGCTGAACTAGTGTACTTTGTATGCCAACTCATACTATGCTTACACATTGTGTGATGGAGAAGTGAATCCATGATCTTCAAAAGGAAAATTAGCATGATAAATTTAACTTAAATATATGGTTAGATTCCACTGTATATTTGGGCAAAAGAATTTATATGTAACACTATTGTGATAATGTATTTCTAACTCAACTTTGAAGCCAAATTCAACTCTGAAGTTCCCGTGCTTTTAGCCCAGTCGTTATACAGGTTTGATTCAAGTTTGAATTAGAAAATTTTAGAATAGAACTACTTGTATTTAGTACCCATGAAGCCTCAGGAAGTTGAGGGAATGGGTTATCGCCTAAGTTAATCATGGCATCTTGAGAGTTCTCTTCTGCAATCAAAGACACTAGTCATGTATTACATCCAATGGAACTCCTTCAAAATGGATCAATGATTCTCTTCTGCAATCAAAGACACTAGTCATGTATTACATCCAATGGAACTCCTTCAAAATGGATCAATGATACTGATTTGCAATAAGTGTATCTAATGGAACTCCTTCAAAATGGATCAATGATACTGATTTGCAATAAGTGTATCTAAGAAAACATATACATATATATTCAACCAATCCAAGCTAAATCAACACATGTTTGTGGTTTCCACTTCATTAGTCTGAGAACATAAATTGTCCCTCCAGGATAGTATATATACAATACCTATGGCTACCTATTCCTTAAAACTTCACTTAGGTCAACCAAGTTAAAGAAGTAGTATGGGTTTCTGTTTAAGCCCAAACCTTTGCTTATGCATCTTGATCGTCATGTCTTGTTGCTTATTTTGCTCTGAAGCTCGCTTTCTCAAAGTGAGAGAGCTTGAAGTGTCACTAAAAAGTATGAATGCAGACCAAGGATCTCGACAAGAAAACAATACAGCGAAGAGCGTGTATGAGTCTACGCGGCTGAGCCCAGGAGGACCTGATCCTCTACACCATTAAACTCTCCGTGAGATTTCAGTACCTTCTTTTGGAGAAGATTTGATATTTTGGAAGAAGAAAATGAGAAACGTTAAGGGGAGAACTTTTTAAACCCTTCTTCTTGGTTAATAGAGTATAAGGGTTGTATGAATGATCTTTAAGTAGGTCTACGTGTGTGTGTGTGTGCATGGTTCAAATGTTTGTGGAATCAAGGAGTTGCTTACTTTCTTTATCTCCTTTGTCTATCTTCTTCTTCTTCTTCTTCTTCGTGGTTTTTAATGTTTCTTGTGTGTATTTATTGTTCAGTTTGAGTTACAAGAATTAAGATGATATGGTCATCTTCAACCTATTTTACTATGTCTACTTTTTCTCCGTCGTGCATTGGACTATGGCACATTCAATAACAAGAGTAACATCAAATACTTTATCCCAGTAGATTAGTTGCATGAATTCTATTCTTCCATTAGTTTGTAAAGGGCTATCTTCTTCACCAATTTGGCCTTTGTGCATACCTTTCCTAATTGTTTCCAATCAAGTTTTTCGGTTCGTCTCTAGTCCGAATTTTCCTAGTAGTTGTAGTGTATCGTTTCTTCTAATTGATACATTTAGTGGTCTCCGTTGTACGTGACCAATAAATCTGAATTGATTCTCTCTTATTTTATTCTCAATAGGAGAAGATCCACCGGGAGTATTTGAGTGTAGCCGAGACTAAGGCTAAATGGCATTTATATACCTTATTGTTTCACTCTTGTAGCACTTATATACCATAAGTTACAAAACATAGCAAAAAACACCCTGAGTTGGTAACTGTTTAAATTTAGCTAACGGTGTTAAAAAATACATGAAAGGACGACTGCTTCTCAG